TCTCTGAAGCACTCTATGCACTCGGCCACTACGGGCGCGTTACAGTAGGCACAGGTGAGAATGCTGTCGATGCTGCAGCTGTGGGAGACACGTCCAGCGAAGGACTCGGCTTTAGCCACGTCTGGCATAGGGATGTCCAGATCTCGGCGTCCAGTGTTGACCATCATGACGTCAGGAAGGGACATGGCTGCCGGAATAGCTTGCTGGAGGGACCTGCGCATGCTGTAGAGAGATTCAATACATGACGTTTGGTGGACTTTATAACATGTAGAGAGAATCAATACATAAAGTTTTGTGGACTTTATAACATCTAGAGAGAATATAGACATGACGTTTTGTGGACTTCAAGTATCATATCGTCTTCTTCGTTTTCTTCCTCATCCTCCTTCTTCCTCATTTAATCTTATTCCAGAATTTAAACTGTGCGTGCACATCTATTTCGCATATTTGGTTTATTTGTATGCAGACTTTTCATTCTCCACCTCCCAGGCAGATGTACCTCGACCTCGAAGGAGACATGTCTAGTTGGTCGCCTCCTATCACATTTTTTATTATGGAATGGGGGTTGGAGGGGGGTGGGGGTGGGGGGAGTGGGTGGGGGGGGGGGGAGTGGGTGTAATATTTTCCTCCAAAAATGGGACCACATGACCCACACGGGGAAGGCATCACAAAATCACAGGTCCAGAAATATAGAAGAGTTATTTCCCCTGAACTCTATTCACCGGTTGGTTCATGTCAGTATTTCTGAGAAATGAGAAAATGTGAACGATTTCTGAATCAATGTTACGTTTTGTGAGTAACTTTTGTTAAGTTTACATTGAATCTGATATTTGGTTTAAGTAAGGTATTGTTGATTATTATCATCTCAGTCAAACTACTGACACAGCCGCCATGGGACTCACGAGCAGCAGCTTCCGCATCTCCTACAGCTTTGCTAGTGAGTCCTAGCCATCTAGTTTAGCCCCATGGGGAAAAATCTCGGCGGTGGCGGTAGTCGCCGGAAAACCGCAATTTAAGTCGCCGGAAGTGCGCAATTGACACGTGACTGAGGCCCTGTTTTGGCCGGTATTGGCCGCCATCTTTTGTGCCCGTTATTCGGAGGATAGCCCAAATACCTACATGCATAACGACATAATCAAGCAAGTGATCGCATAGCCTCTATAACAACCACAACAAGCTGGTTCCCATCGCCACTAAACTACCGGTTCAAACCTTAGTTATCCTCCTGTGGAATGCACATTTTCGTTATTTTGAAGCCCTACCCTTGCTTTTGCCAGGGGCCGCAATATAGCCCGGCCATAAATATGGCCTAATGGCTGAACGCAGTTTCTGTGACTTCTCCATGGTGATCCTCATCCGCATGGTGGCACATTGTGTCATCGGGTGTTTATCGCTTGTGTGATGTCCTAGTGGGGTAGAAAGTCAGTCAGTCAGTCAGACTACCAGATACTTCGTAAACGATTTGTGGTGCCCCGGTAAAACTGTTGCCAGATGGACATAAAATGAGAAGTGATGGACTCCAGAACTTGGTAACAACTGTCAAGACTGATGGAAAGAGAGCAAGAGGAAGGCAAAGAGATAAATACCTGGATGGTCGGGCCAGATGGATGGGGCGAGACAAGAACACCGTGAGATGGCGACACATGACCGCCTACGCTTACGGGCACGACACATGATGATGATGATATCGCTATTACGGTTGAACCGGGATTCCGGTATTTGTACTTGTTTGATTCTCATCCTACAGACTGCAATCCTGATCGGGGTTATTAAAAAAAGTGGAGGGGGGGGGGGGAGGACTTAAAAAAAAAAACCAACATATTGACAGATAAGGATGATTATGGATCTCGTCCTTACGGTTACAGACTGCAGGTGACCCCTGTCTGGTGCTGCTGTGACAGCTTCTCCAATTAAACTTCTTCTGAGATTGAACAGAGTATCTGGGATCTGCCCTGTGGGCCAGCCATCCATTTTGAGAGTGTGTGATCTCAGGTTGTCAAACCTGCAGGCAACTGCTGGGCGAGGAGGTAGGGGTGGGGGTGGGGGGGGGCGCCACGGCACAGAATGTGCTCACACATCCACCATGACTCTTCTAGAACGTCAGGTGACACACACCAGGCTAGTGTTTGGTGTGAGAAGCCGCTAGCTGGCAGGAGATGCCCAGCTTCGAATGCTCCGAAAGGTAATTGATTTTTGTGTCTGTCGGGATCTTCTTCAATAAAATCTTGGGTGCTTTCTTAATATCCTTCCCCAAATATGGAAAATCCATAGGTCACGGGACAGTCTAATATTTCAGGGGGTGGTAGATAGGCTGCATGCAGTTGTGGGACCTAGGCTGCACTTTCTCGTGGGATGTAGGTGGGTTAGGGTCAGGGCCAGTTCTAGATGTTTTGGGGCCATTAGGACTATCAGAAAGCCGGAAAACCTTAGTCTTACCACCTTCTTAAAATGTTGGACTGTCCTTGTTACGTCATCTGGGGTAGGATATTAGGAAAGAACTAAATCTTAACTTTGCCGGCCGTGGCCACAGCGCTAGTCGCGCGGCCCTAAATCCTCAAAGATCCATCTTTATTCACATCACAAGTGGTAGATACAGCCACTGATTGGTGGGGGGAGGGGTGTTGTATTACCTGGTGTAGTCGTTACTGATACTTAGTTATACTCTCCAAGGAGGCTGAACGGGTATTTTGATTTTGTCTTGTTATTCTGCCAATCCAGACAATCTTCAGTGTTCGGGTGCTTACTAGAAAAAAAGCAGCGATGTCAAGTGGCTAGTCACTTTCTAACCATCCCTAAGGTTTTGATCTCGAATCCACATGGAAGAATATCTTATATATTTAACCTGTACTTTCATCTCGCATCACACACTTCTGTTGTAAAAAATGACCGAGGTACTGACCTCTGGGAGAGAAGGTCATCCTTGATCTCTGCCCCAACGAAGTTGTTCTTGTGGCACAGCTGGTTGCGTACGTGGACGTACTGATGTCGTCGTCCAACCGGAGGTGAGCTGTGGAGGAGAAACCGCGTTACACAGGCACTGAACGATAAAAGCGATGATGGAGATGAATTCAGATAAAAACACGATTCATTACAGCGCCAATCTTCTTATAATGGGAGGGGAAGGGGGAAGCGGGGGTGAAGAGCAAAATATCCTAAGTTGCACTGTATTTTACAGTGGTAACTCGACTTAGGAACCGCTCTACGTCCGGGCTTGTTAGAAAAAGAACTTTTCTCATATCCTATTTGAACTACAAACAGGAACCTAAATTCGAGATAGGAAACGTGATGAGCTGCGCATGCGCGCATGTTTGTTGTCGCTACTTGCATTCATCTGAAATGCGAGGCAACGAATGGTGTGTGCGACGCCTGCTCACGTACTTATTTGCTGTTTGTGCATCTGATTTCGATATTTGTGTAATCAACCAATACAAAACTACATACATAGGTATCATGTAAAACCAAAGACCTGATAAATTCAAATTTGTTATGGTATACAAAATGCAAATTTATTGCCTGAAAAGTCTCGTTCTCACTCTTGATCCATTTCTTTTTATTTTCTTAATTTAGCAGTTCTTTTGGTGCTTTATTAACAATCTACCCCAAATGACGTCAGAGGACAGTCCAAAATTACAACAGTTTCCCGGGCTTTCTGATGTTTTTAACGACCCAATAACATTTAGAACTGGCCATAACCCTAACCCACCTACGTCCTACGAAAGAGTGCAGCCTAGGTCCCACGACTGCATGCAGCCTAGGTCCCACGACTACATGCAGCCTATCTACCACCCCCTTAAATATTAGACTGTCCCGCGACCTGAAGAATTCCCCTGTTTGGGGTAGGATATAAATAAAACACCGTCCTTTTTTCTTATTCGGATTTTTAAAATTTTATTTCAGAGAACAGATTAACTGATTTCCTGCAAGTTATAATGGGAAATTACGTTTCAAGATATAAAGTTTTCAAGATAAGAAACACAGTCAGAAACGAATAAAATTAGTAAGGCGAGGTACCAATGTACTCTTTAAGGGAGTGTAACAAGTTTTCAAGAAATGATTTACACTTTCAAATTACTCTCTATTTTAGCCTAGTCGAAGTCTTCTTTACCTTGTTTTTTTTCTGCTCCTTGCCTCCAACTTCTTCTTCTTTCTTCTTTGTGTTCACCAGCTGTAAACTCTGGCGGAAAGTTCTGGTTGTCCGTCCATTACTGAACTGCAGTCCTGCTCCAGAACCTGAGTGTTGCGTGTGCATCAGTTTTACAGATCTTATTCTCCCGAATACAGACTGTTGGTTCCTTGCCTCTCCGGCAGATGCACTCCGACTTCAAAGGAAGCTAGACAATTAGTCGACTCTTACGACATGCTTTTAAGGGAGGCAGTGGGTCTATTCTTGTTTTCCCCACAATAGGGCCCCGGAACCCACACGGGGGTTTTTCCCTCCACCTCTTTTTCTCCTTCCTCTTCCGCATCTTCTTCTTTACAATTACGCATACTGAAGTACTTGAAGAACAATCGTTTCATGGGGCGGGGGGGGGGCGGGGAGAGAGTGGGGAGAGAGTGGGGAGAAGGGTGGACGGGCATACGGGTATGTTACATGTAGACTGCCTTCTGAACTCATCCGGATTGTGGTCTTGAATTTTCTGTCCCAAGCATTTCATTCATTCGTTGGCTCGTTCTTTCATTAATTCGTGAATTTATGTGAGATACACACAAATAAATTTTGTGAGAGAGATAAAGAAAGAAAAAGAGATAGTGTGTGTGTGTGTGTGTGTGATAGACTGTGTCAGTGAGACAGATTGCATGTATGTGAGTGTGTGTGTGTGTGAGAGAGAGATTGAGAGAAAAACAGAGATAGACTGTGTCAGTGAGACAGATTGCGTGTATGCGAGTGTGTGTGTGTGTGTGAAAGAGAGAGAGAGAGAGAGAGAGAGAGAGAGAGAGAGAGAGAGAGAGAGAGAGAGAGAGAGAAACGGTGTGTGTGAAAGAAAGATAAAGCCACTCACTGTAAGCGAGGTGTTGTCCTGAGCCATCGCCTCCACCTACAGCAGTAGCGCTGGACCCGGACGATGAGTGCCCGCCGCAGGATGACGTAGAGCCAGGGGTTCAAGGTCTGGTTCAGGCTGGCTAGTCTCACGGCCACCAGGCCAAGTACGTCCAGGGTCTTGCCCTCTGTGGCCAAGGTTAGGCTGATGTGGATCTGCGACAGCCATCAATTAGTTAGTTGCGTATCCTTTACAGGACGTTGCAGAACCAACCCTAACAGCCCCTGGCTGTTGTGTGGTTTCTCTAGGCAATTTACATCCAGTAGTTTGCCATTGTTTCCTGGACGGTCGGCTTTCTTGATACCACTGTCGAAACCAGCGCAAGGCGCATTGCCCTCAGCTGGGATCGAACCTGGCATCCCGGCATTACGAAGCGAAGCGTTCGCATCGACTTAGCTACAGAGCCGACAGCGATCAATAATAATAATAATGATAATAACAATATTTAAAAAAAAATCAACAACAGCAATAATAATAACAACAAAACAACTATAACATCAACAGCAAAAGACTTATTCTTCTGGTACATTTAACTCTTCTGGTCTTAGACTGTCTTAAAATCAACTGTGTCTATGCTAACATTTTTTACACCCTAATCTTTTAGTCTCATAAAGCTGCAAAATACAGCTTTGGGAGATAATGTATTATAGCAGCAGCTGGAGAATAATGGGTTAATATAAGATAAAAATGGGGTAGCAAACGTAAAGAAGTGTGCATCATATATAGTGTGACCAATAAACGTAAGGTAAGTTCCTTGGTACTGAAAGAGTTAAAACGGTGGTGGAATGTAGAAGCATAGAAAAGGGTGGGGGGGGGGGGGGAAAAAAATGTGTTAACATAAAGAGACAAATTATATATGGGGGAAGGGGTGAGAAAACATGTCCGCATTGGGTACCACCTGACCTTGCCACTAACGTAACTGGTGGGACGTTACGTTGTGGTTTACAGCTGGGCTACGATATCGGTGACTTTTAGGGCAAAACGACTGATATCAGTAAGCAAATTCTGAATTAGTTGCCTTTTTCACAATATAATACTATTTAAGTGGTAGTGGATCTTTCTTCTCCTCTCCATCTTTCCTCTTTCTCCCCAAAACGGAGTCGCAGAACACATACATGGAAGCACGCATAGTAAAAACATGAACTGTAGGAGGCGAACAATAAGTCGATGACGGCGAGAAAGAAGACGAAGAAAAAGTAGCAGCAGCAGAAGTAGGAGCAGTAAAGTCAAAGAAGGTGAAGAAGAAGAAGAAGTAGAGGAATAAGAAAAGAAGAAGAAGAAGAAGAAGAAGAAGAAGAAGAAGAAGAAGAAGAAGAAGAAGAAGAAGAAGAAGAAGAAGAAGAAAGAAGAAGAAGAAGAAGAAGAAGAAGAAGAAGAAGAAGAAGAAGAAAAAGAAGAAGAAGAAAAAGAAAAAGAAGAAGAAAAAGAAGAAGAAGAAGAAAGAAGAAAGAAGAAGAAAAAGCAGCAGCAGCAGAAGAAGAAGAAGAAGAAGAAGAAGAAGAAGAAGAAGAAGAAGAAGAAGAAGAAGAAGAAGAAGAAGAAGAAGAAGAAGCAAGAAGAAGAAGCAGACGATGATGAATAATATGGTCATAATAATGATGATGATGATCACTATGGCACACATGTGTTGTGTTCAGTGAACGATAATTCTATCCGACAATGGTTGAAAACTAGAAAAGACAACTTTTTTTTTAACATCGCCCACTCGCCCAAACCCATTAGATTTCATTTCTATAGCATGTGAATTCTATCCCTTTGACACTACATCGTTCATTCCACCCCCCCCCCCCCCCCCCCCCCCCCCCCCCCTCCCCCCCCCCCCCCCCCCCCTCCCTCGTGGTACCCTAGTCGTGCCTTCTGGTTCTATATCGTCAATGAAATTCATTCCTGGAGGTCGAGATGATCAAGGAAGATGGTCATGAAGTCGCCGCGTCCAACAGACAGGAAATAGAACGGAATGACGGGAAAGATCATATCTCACTTCCGGAATCTGTTGCCAAGGGGAAACAAATCAACACGGGCTAGAAAGTGGAGCCGAGGGTTGGCGGGTGAGTGTGAATGATGTCGGGAAGCTATGAGAGATGACCCGATAGGGTTAGATATTGGATTCCACTGGGGATTTTACTATCATCATCAAGTGATCAGACAAATGGGGCTATCCTCCGAATAACAGGCACATATTATGGCGGCCGCAAAAACACACCCTAACAGGGCCTCAGTCTCATGTCAATTGCGAACTTCCGGCGGCCTAATTTACGCACTTCCGGCGACTACCGCCATCGTCGAGAGTATCCCCCACGCCGCTCACGTGACGTGGATTGGGGTTAAACTAGATGGCTGGGACTCACGAGCAGCAGCTTCCGCATCTCCTGCAGCTTTGCTCGTGAGTCCCAGCCATTTAGTTTAACATAATGGCCAGGATGGATTGTTAAGTCAAAAATAACATTTTTAAAAATTAAAAAGTATACGATACGAGTAATATTATTTTTATAGACAATCAGCACTCGATGTGTAGTGTAGCCAACCGACCGCTTTTTCTTCCCAGGACTTTCTTTGGTACCCATTTTAAAATTAGTACTAGAAAATGTCTTGAAAAGACAGAAGACCGACCGAGTTGAAACTGAGATGTTGTGCCCCATAGTTTGTCTTTTTGGTGCCCCACAGTTTGTCATATTGGTGCTCCATAGTTAGTCTTGTTGGTGCTCCATAGTTTGTCATGTTGGTGCTCCATAGTTTGGCTTGTTAGTGCCCCATAGTTTGTCGTGTTGGTGCTCCATAGTTTGTCATGTTGGTGCTCCATAGTTTGTCTTGTTGGTGCCCCATAGTTGGTCATGTTGGTGCTCCATAGTTTGTCTTGTTGGTGCCCCATAGTTTGTCATGTTGGTGCTCCATAGTTTGTCTTGTTGGTGCTCCATAGTTTGTCTTGTTGGTGCTCCATAGTTTGTCTTGTTGGTGCTCCATAGTTTGTCTTGTTGGTGCACCATAGTTTGTCATGTTGGTGCTCCATAGTTTGTCTTGTTGGTGCTCCATAGTTTGTCTTGTTGGTGCTCCATAGTTTGTCTTGTTGGTGCTCCATAGTTTGTCTTGTTGGTGCTCCATAGTTTGTCTTGTTGGTGCTCCATAGTTTGTCTTGTTGGTGCCCCATAGTTTGTCATGTTGGTGCTCCATAGTTTGTCTTGTTGGTGCTCCATAGTTTGTCTTGTTGGTGCTCCATAGTTTGTCTTGTTAGTGCCCCATAGTTTGTCGTGTTGGTGTTCCATAGTTTGTCTTGTTGGTGCTCCATAGTTTGTCTTGTTGGTGCTCCATAGTTTGTCTTGTTGGTGCTCCATAGTTTGTCTTGTTAGTGCCCCATAGTTTGTCGTGTTGGTGCTCCATAGTTTGTCTTGTTGGTGCTCCATAGTTTGTCGTTGGTGCTCCATAGTTTGTCTTGTTGGTGCTCCATAGTTTGTCTTGTAGGGTGGCTCCGGTGGGTTAGATTTCTTGCTTCTCCTTGTGGGTTCTGGGGCTCCGTTGTGAAGAAAACACGAAAAGACCAAACGTCTTCCAAAAGCATGACGTAAGAGTCCTTTGCAGTCGTAGTGCATCTGCCTGAGAGACGAGGAACCATTCAAATATAAACCAAATAAGTCATGTCTGTAAAACGGACGTGCACGCAGCATTCAGGTTCTGGAACAGAAGTGGATGAATAACGAGAACTTTCTGCCGGAGCTTACAGCTGGTGAACGCAAAGAAAAAGATTTCTTACTAACAAAGCTTATTTAGCCATATAATCCTCATATTACTGTTCGTCCTTATTATAATGTTACACTCCTACTTCCGTCGCTCTTTTTTCTTCTGCTCGCCTTCGTTGAACGTTTCCTTCCGGTATATTTCTTATAATAATTACATGGGAGATGTAGGAGTTTTGTAAATGTAAGATAAAGCAGCAGATACTACTCACCATCAGCGGCGCCCAACAGACGGCAAAGATGGTTGTAATGGCGCACATGACAACAATCATCTGCAGCTCTATGTCTTTCTGTTTGCGTCGACGGACCGCCTGAAGTAGAGAGTAGAGATAAACAGAGTCAGGACCTGCCCCTATGTACCAGTTATCACATAGTGCACACTTTAACTAGTAATATATTTGACTGCCACTATAGACAAATAATAATCTTCCCACCCCCTTTTTTTCCCTCATCATCTTCTTCTTTTTCTTCTCTTTCTTCTTCTACTTCATTATCATCATGGTCGTCATCATTTTCTTCTTTTTCTTCTTCTTCTTCTTCTTCCTCTTCTTCTTCCTCTTCCTCTTCCTCCTCCTCTTCTTCCTCCTCCTCCTTCACCTTCTTCTTCTTCTTCTTCTTCTTCTTCTTCTTCTTCTTTTCTTCTTCTTCTTCTTCTTCTTCTTCTTCTTCTTCTCCTCCTCCTCCTGCTTCTTCTCCTCCTCCTCTTCCTCCTCCTTCTTCTTCTTCTTCTTCTTCTTCTTCTTCTTCTTCTTCTTCTTCTTCTTCTTCTTCTTCTTCTTCTTCTTATTCTTTTCATTCTTCTGCTTCTTCTTCTTCTTCTTCTTCTTCTCTCTTCTTCTTCTTCTTCTTCTTCTTCTTCTTCTTCTTCTTCTTCTTCTTCTTCTTCTTCTTCTTCTGTTTTGTCTTATACTTCTTTGTTCTCTCCTGCTTCCTTCTCCCTTCTCCTCTTTCTTCTTGTCCTCCTCCTTCGATAAAAATCCGTCGTCAGATTTATAACACTGTCCTGTCTTCATTGTCATGTCATATTGGTCTATAGCATACACCGCTTGACGGCGATTGGTCAGTTTTAAACGACAGTTTAAGAGGACTGAGAATAACCAATAAACACACCTATCACACTTGACCAATGAGGTTTCTTCAAGTTTTGTCCCTCCCAGGATTGCAGTCTGTAGGATTACCATCTCAAGGACGAGAATCAAACAAGTACGAATTCTGGAAAAACCCCGTTCAACCGTACAGCCCCATCATCATCATTCCTTTGCAGAACGTGGGTCTCATCACGGTCTGCCTGAAAGAAACTCAGTCTCTCTCCAGCTCTCCTGCCTCGTGTACTTTCATGTTCACATATATCACAGTTATACAGAGGTATCACAAATTGGTTACCAGGCAGCCGTTAGTCTGGTGTATCTGGTTGTGTGGGCCAATCAAAGTTCTTGCTGAGATAGATAGCTTTAGACAGTAGCGCTAAGGATCAAATAACAGACAACATTGGGAAGATGGAAGAGTTCCTGTTGCCTCGGGCTCTGTCTGGGTAAGAGTTTGCTGACAATTATTGGAATATTTCAAACTCCGGCAGCAAACACTAGCAGTGTTTGGCCTAATTCTAGCCAGTACAGATGTGCTTGTGGGAGTTGAGGTTTAGTCTGTTACAAATGTCGTGCTCAGCTTTACAAATATATAACTCTGTAACTCTTAGGTGTTAAGTTGGTGCAATCTGATTTAGTTCGACGTTTGTCTCCCCGAACAAAGGAGGTCACGTTCCATTGGCAACTTGGTTGGACTGGTCTACTTTCCTAGGGGTTACGGGTGCGCCGCTCTGTAATTCGCTTTTTGGCTTGTCTTGCAATTACGTTTTTCTTCCGAGAAAGAGAATGCCTGTGACATATCTTGCAGCACCCTCTAGGGGGTTTGTGTGTTTGACTCAATTTGTCCATGTTTTTGTAGCGGTTAAAAGCGCTGGCGTGCTGAAATATACAACACAGCGGCATTGCGGAACACCCCGTACCAGTGTGAGAAAGTCCCGCTACTCAGGAACTAGCAATCAGAAGTAGCTAGTATGTATATGGGCGGGCTCTGGGGGGACTAACGTGGAACTAACCGAAATTTGGCATGAAACTTGCTAATAATTATGTCCTTATAAGTATTTTCTTTAAAAAAGCATTTAAAAAAACACATAGTTTTTTTGTGTGTGCCTCTTTTGCGGTTATGAAAAACAAAATAAACAGTCACTGACTCAAAACAGTCAGTATGCTTACAGTTAACTCAGTAACAAAACTGTTCAAAACATCATGTTGCATGCATGTCCTAGGCGTTTGGCTCTCCAGCATTAGTCTCTCGTGAGTTACGTGAACACAACTGTTCATTGTATGTGGGATAGGCTATCAAAATAATGACCACGAATCGCTGCACATGTAAACTGATTTCCAAACAAACTCAATGCGTGTGTAAATTAATTGTATTTTCTATTTTTTTTTTATAAGGTACATACGTTTTTATTCGAACACATATCAAATAACCGCTTTAAGAAAACAGCAGCACCTGTGCAATTGTAAATTAGAAAGTCATAAGGACATGGGAAATCTAAGGCCACATGCACACATTCGTGTTGTTCTGTACATGAGGTTTTGAGACATTTGATAAATTGTGACGACACAACTAACGACAATGTGTGCTTTTAGAACGGAGAGATATCAGCGGCCAGGCGTGCATGTAGTGGCACCTTTAGTTACTGACACTATTATTATTTACTATTTATGGACCAGTTCACGTTTCCCGGTCCATTTACACACTCTTGTCAGTCTGATCTAGGTCAGAGGGTTGTCACGTTGTACTGCTTTCTTCGAAAAGAGTCTCTCGTGTAACCTAGGCTTAGGCTCACGGTAGAGGGTTTAGGTTAGGGCCAGTTGTAGATGTTCTGGGTCGTTGAAAGCTGTGTCGTCGTGCAGTATAGAACACGCGACATGGGCCCTGATGTAATTGGGGGCAAGACAATGTGAAACCCCTCGGACGTAAAATAGTCTGGGAAAGTATGAATGAACAGCCAGACAGTATGTAAATGGGGCGAAAAACGTAAACAGGACCCTATTTATTACAAATTCGCTACTCGTTTTAAGTCTCAAACATTGCAAGAAAAAGAACGCTCACTGCATGTTTACTAAGCTTCTATGTTAGCTGCGCATGCGTACTCTCACTCTCAGCAGCACAGCGGGGCATCACATGACACCATCTGAAGTGCAATCGTTACTTGCTAACGCTTACACATAGGAAGTGATCCTGTCTAGCCACTGACAAGACAGATTTCAATAACAGAACGAAAAGATCTAAAGAGATACAGACAACAGACAGGCTGACGGACAGACAAGAGACAGTTTGACGGACAGACAAGAGACAGGCTGACGGACAGACAACAGACAGTCTGACGGACAGACAAGAGACAGGCTGACGGACAGACAAGAGACAGTCTGACGGACAGACAACAGACAGGCTGACGGACAGACAGGCTGACGGACAGACAAAAGACAGGCTGACTGACAGACAATAGACAGGCTGACGGACAGACAAGAGACAGGCTGACGGACAGACAACAGACAGGCTGACGGACAGACAACAGACAGGCTGACGGACAGACAAGAGACAGGCTGACGGACAGACAAGAGACAGTCTGACGGACAGACAACAGACAGGCTGACGGACATACAACAAGCATGTTGACGGACAGACAAGAAACAGTCTGACGGACAGACAAGAGACAGTCTGACGGACAGACAATAGACAGGCTGACGGACAGACAACAGACAGGCTGACGGACAGACAAGAGACAGGCTGACGGACAGACAACAGACAGTCTGACGGACAGACAAGAGACAGGCTGACGGACAGACAAGAGACAGGCTGACGGACAGACAAGAGACAGTCTGACGGACAGACAAGAGACAGTCTGACGGACAGACAACAGACAGGCTGACGGACAGACAATAGACAGTCTGACGGACAGACAAGAGACAGTCTGACGGACAGACAACAGACAGGCTGACGGACATACAATAGACAGGCTGACGGACAGATAACAGACAGGCTGACGGACAGACAACAGACAGGCTGACGGACAGACAACAGACAGGCTGACGGACAGACAAGAGACAGTCTGACGGACAGACAAGAGACAGTCTGACGGACAGACAACAGACAGGCTGACGGACAGACAACAGACAGGCTGACGGACAGACAACAGACAGGCTGACGGACAGACAACAGACAGGCTGACGGACAGACAAGAGACAGTCTGACGGACAGACAACAGACAGGCTGACGGACAGACAAGAGACAGGCTGACGGACAGACAACAGACAGGCTGACGGACAGACAAGAGACAGTCTGACGGACAGGCAACAGACAGGCTGACGGACAGACAACAAGCGTGTTGACGGACAGACAAGAGACAGTCTGACGGACAGACAAGAGACAGTCTGACGGACAGACAAGAGACAGTCTGACGGACAGACAACAGACAGGCTGACGGACAGACAACAGACAGGCTGACGGACAGACAACAGACAGGGTGACGGACAGACAACAGACAGGCTGACGGACAGACAACAGACAGGCTGACGGACAGACAACAGACAGGCTGACGGAGAGACAACAGACAGGCTGACGGAGAGACAACAGACAGGCTGACGGACAGACAACAGACAGGCTGACGGACAGACAACAGACAGGCTGACGGACAGACAAGAGACAGGCTGACGGACAAACAAGAGACAGTCTGACGGACAGACAACAGACAGGCTGACGGACAGACAACAGACAGGCTGACGGACAGACAACAGACAGGCTGACGGACAGACAACAGACAGGCTGACGGACAGACAACAGACAGGCTGACGGACAGACAACAGACAGGCTGACGGACAGACAACAGACAGTCTGACGGACAGACAAGAGACAGTCTGACGGACAGACAAGAGACAGGCTGACGGACAGACAACAGACAGGCTGACGGACAGACAACAGACAGGCTGATGGACAGACAACAAACAGGCTGACGGACAGACAAGAGACAGTCTGACGGACAGACAACAGACAGGCTGACGGACAGACAACAGACAGGCTGACGGACAGACAAGAGACAGGCTGACGGACAGACAAGAGACAGTCTGACGGACAGACAACAGACAGGCTGACAGACAGACAAGAGACAGGCTGACGGACAGACAAGAGACAGTCTGACGGACAGATAACAGACAGGCTGACGGACAGACAACAGGCATGTTGACGGACAGGCAAACCTGTTGCTTCTGTGAGTCGTCCATCATGGCGTCGGCCATCATGACGCTGTTAACGCTGGTGTTGCTGTGTTTCCGGCGGTAACCTCTGACCCGGGCCAAGGTCAGCACCACCACGAGGTTACACATCACCATGACGACGACCAGTAGAAGGTTAAGGCTTGAGTACATGTACCCATAGGCGGCGTGGACGGGGTTGTGAGTCCTGTGGGTACAGTCGTGGGTACAAGTGGGTACAAACACAGGTTAAATGGGTACAGCGATGTTTATAGTTGGTGAGTACAATAGCGAATACAGCAGTAAAAAAGGCAGTACGTGCGACAGGGTTCAAATCTGTGAACACAGACGCATTATAAATTTGGAAGTTTTACATTTCACTTGATGACATCTTCTTCTTCTTCTTTTTCTTCTTCTTCTTCTTCTTCTTCGTCTTCTTCTTCTTCTTCTTCTTCTTCTTCTTCTTCTTCTTCTTCTTCTTCTTCTTCTTCTTCTTCTTTTTCTTCTTTCTTCTTCTTCTTCTTCTTCTTCTTCTTCTTCTTCTTCTTCTTCTTCTTCTTCTTCTTCTTCTTCTTCTTCTTCTTCTTCTCCTTCGTCTCCTTCTTCTTCTTCTTCTTCTTCTTCTTCTTCTTCTTCTTCTCTCTTCTTCTTCTTCTTCTTCTTCTTCTTCTTCTTCTTTCTTCTTCTTCTTCTTCTCCTTCGTCTCCTTCTTCTTTCTTCTTCTTCTTCTTTCTTCTTCTTCTTCTTCTTCTTCTTCTTCTTCTTCTTCTTCTTCTTCTTCTCTTCTTCTTCTTCTTCTTCTTCTTCTTCTTCTTCTTCTTCTTCTTCTTCTCCTTCTTCTTCTTCTTCTTCTTCTTTCTCCTTCTTCTTCTTCTCCTTCTTCTCCTTCTTCTCCTTCTTCTTCTTCTTCTTCTTCTTCTTCTTCTTCTTCTTCTTCTTTTTTCTTCTTCTTCTTCTTCTCTTCTTCTTCTTCTTCTTCTTCTTCTTCTTCTTCTTCTTCTTCTTCTTCTTCTTCTTCTTCTTCTTCTCCTCCTTCTGCTTCTTTTCTTCTTCTTTCTTCTTCTTCTTCTTCTTCTTCTTCTTCTTTTTTCTTCTTCTTCTTCTTCTTCTTCTTCTTCTTCTTCTTCTTCTTCTTCTTCTTCTTCTTCTTCTTCTTCTTCTTCTTCTTCTTCTTCTTCTTCTTCTTCTTCTTCTTCTCCTTCGTCTTCTTCTCCTTCTTCTTCTTCTTCTTCTTCTTCTTCTTCTTCTTCTTCTTCTTCTTCTTCTTCTTCTTCTTCTTCTTCTTCTTAAATATATACCAGATAAAGCCATGGGAAGTGAAGGCGTCCGGCGTGATGGGGATCACATCACTCACCAAGTGCCGACTGGTCTATAAAATAGGGTCAAGACCTATATGCCCAATACGCCTGATGGCCTCGAAAAGGGTCCTTTACTTAAACGTGGGTGGGGGTGGGGGTCTATTCTTTACTGCTCCAGAAATTTGGCTCAGGAACTCAACAAAGAGCTGCAGGAAGTAGAGAAGTGATGTGACATATATATTTAGACACCAAACTTTGGTCGCTGCTTTTTATGTTTGCCCCTCCTCTCTCTCTCTCTCTCTCTCTCTCTCTCTCTCTCTCTCTCTCTCTCTCTCTCTCTCTATCTATCTATCTATCTCTCTCTCTCTTCCCCCCTCTCTTCCACTAATCCTTCTCCCCCTTTTTGCCCCGTTTTTAATCACTGCATAATATTTATTCATTCATTTACTTATTTTCTTATTTCTCTCTTTCTGTCTCTTCTTATGTATGTGCATGTATTTATCTATTTCTTTCTCTCTCCCCTGTTACTGTGTCTCGCCCCTTCCCTTCTGGATTTTCTCTAGCCCTCTCTAAATCTGTTTTTCCTTTCTTCCCCTGTCCTCGTCTTCCCCTGTCCCTCCTAGAATGTACGCAATGATTGGATATCACCATCATTAATTTAACTAAACTCTATTAGTGCAGGAATTTGACTAAGTTAATTTATTGATTTTGACACTTTTTGTCTCCCGTACTATCGGCTGTCATGCTACAAGTATTGACCCAGCCGCCATGTTTCACTTCGCAATGCCCAGCAGAAGCCTTGAATATTTCATGATCTTCAAACATTGTTGAGTTGACGGGGCGCCATAAATTCCCTAGAATCGGATAATCTGTCAAATCACGTGGTAATGAACCGTTTATTTTTAGTGTCCATATTTTCTAGACATTATTGCGCGGGTTCTGTATAACATATGAGGGAATTTTTTACGTTTACCAACAGAGCGTAATAGGCTTTTCGTTCATGGTTTCTGACCTGACCCACGCGTTAGTCTATGTTAGAGGGGTGTCAGGGTGTGCTTTTCCCGCCAAGAAGTGCGTCGTGTGGGCGGCTAGCTAGACTGTCTGTTTTACTCGTTCGCGTGAGCGGGCGGCGACACTGCGTATATTAAGCAGTTCAGGTACCACATAGGTTTAGTTTAGTTGTCAGCAACAAGGAAAACAGCAATTGCTTTTTTTTTTTTTTTTTTTTGCAGCAAGACGGCTTTATAGGTGATAGCAACGAAGACCATATAACATGACACAGGACATCGCCGGTGATAGCATCGAAGACCATATAACATGACACGGGACATCATTGTTGATAGCAACGAAGACAATATAACATGACACGGGACATCGCCGGTGATAGCATAGAAGACCATATAACATGACACAGGACATCGCCGGTGATAGCATCGAAGACCATATAACATGACACGGGACATCATTGTTGATAGCAACGAAGACAATATAACATGACACGGGACATCGTTGTTGATAGCATAGAAGACCATATAACATGACACGGGACATCGTTGTTGATAGCATAGAAGACCATATAACATGACACGGGACATCGTTGTTGATAGCATAGAAGACCATGTAACATGACACGGGACATCGTTGTTGATAGCATAAAAGACCATATAACATGACACGGGACATCATTGTTGATAGCATAGAAGACCATATAACATGACACGGGACATCGTTGTTGATAGCATAGAAGACCATATAACATGACACGGGACATCGTTGTTGATAGCATAGAAGACCATATAACATGACACGGGACATCGTTGTTGATAGCATAGAAGACCATATAACATGACACGGGACATCGTTGTTGATAGCATAGAAGACCATATAACATGACACGGGGACATCATTGTTGATAGCATAGAAGACCATATAACATGACACGGGACATCGTTGTTGATAGCATAGAAGACCATATAACATGACACGGGACATCATTGTTGATAGCATAGAAGACCATATAACATGACACGGGACATCGCCGGTGATAGCATAGAAGACCATATAACATGACACGGGACATCGTTGTTGATAGCATCGAAGACCATATAACATGACACGGGGACATCAATTGTTGATAGCATAGAAGACCATATAACATGACACGGGACATCATTGTTGATAGCATAGAAGACCATATAACATGACACGGGACATCATTGTTGATAGCATAGAAGACCATATAACATGACACGGGACATCATTGTTGATAGCATAGAAGACCATATAACATGACACGGGACATCATTGTTGATAGCATAGAAGACCATATAACATGACACGGGACATCGTTGTTGATAGCATAGAAGACCATATAACATGACACGGGACATCATTGTTGATAGCATAGAAGACCATATAACATGACACGGGACATCGCCGGTGATAGCATAGAAGACCATATAACATGACACGGGACATCGCCTGTGATAGCATCGAAGACCATATAACATGACACGGGACATCGCCGGTGATAGCATCAAAGACCATATAACATGACACGGGACATCGCCGGTGATAGCATCAAAGACCATATAACATGACACGGGACATCGCCGGTGATAGCATAGAAGACCATATAACATGACACGGGACATCGTTGTTGATAGCATAGAAGACCATATAACATGACACGGGACATCGTTGTTGATAGCATAGAAGACCATATAACATGACACGGGACATCGTTGTTGATAGCATAGAAGACCATATAACATGACACGGGACATCGCCGGTGATAGCATAGAAGACCGTATAACATGACACGGGACATCGCCGGTGATAGCATAGAAGACCATATAACATGACACGGGACATCGCCGGTGATAGCATAGAAGACCATATAATGTGACACGAGACGTAGTCTGCACTCTCTCGTTGGACGCAGGCTAAGGCTGTTTTAGGGGGTTTGGGGTTAGGGCCAATTCTAGATGTTCTAGGGTGGTTACAAGCGGTCACATCGAGCAATATAGTATACGTGTCATGGCCGGGGAGAGCGTCAAAGACAGCGCTATGTGACACGCCTGTAACATAGACTATCGCCTGTGAAAGGTCAGGAAGCATGATTGAAAGGCCAATTACGCCCTGTTTAGGGCGGAAAACGTAAAAAGAACCCATATGATATATGCAGAGTTGCCAGGATCTAAGGTCCCACACCCTTCCCCACCCAGTCCCCTTTAACCAAGTAGAGAAATTTGTTTTAAAAGTACTGGTTTTGTATTTTTCAAATGAATTATTCTACTTATTTACCGTTAGCACATTGTTATTATTTGTTATTGCTATGCTCTTAAACTGGGAATTGATCCCATATTATGCTTACAAAACGTATGTCGGCGGGGGATGAGGCTAACGGGAGTTTAAACCTTTTTTATATTTACTCCTATCCACTTGTGCTCCCCCCCCCCCTTTCTTATGAAAATGACTAAGGACACCCTTTATAGTAAATTAAAGACAGGCAGAAGATGCTGAGGCCGACCTCTAGTACGATATAAAGACTTGTGCAAGCGGGACATGAATGGTACTGAGTGTACTCGTGGAAACAAAAGGCCCTGGACCGTGTTGTGTGAAAGGGGCACATCAGGAAGGGAATATGAATAAAGGACAAAACGATTGCAGAAAGGATGAGAGCTGAGCGTCTGAGAAGAAACAGATTAAACACACATGTTGTTAACAATGGTCCTGAAATCCCATGCTATCATTGTGGGAGACTTTTCTTGACACCGGCGGGTCTTGCTAGTCACACTCGCCATCGCCATGGGCTGTGAGTCCTATGCTTCCTCATAGCATAATATCTTCTTCTTTTTCGCGTTCACCAGCTGTAAACTCCAGCAAAAAATTCTGGTTACCCCTTCTGGACTTTTATTCTTTTCCGATAACCTGAGTGTTGCGTGTGCATCCGTTTTACAGATATGACTCATTTGCATATAAATGTTGATTCCTTGCCTCTGGGGCAGGTGCACTCCGACTTCGAAGGAAGCTCCCAATTAGTCGACCTACGACATGCTTCTGGGTAGACAGTTGGTCTATTCTTGTTTTCCCTACTATCGGCCCCAGAACCCACACGGGAAATAGCGCAATGAAACAGTATCGTTCATTGGCATTTTCTGAAGGTTTTCCTGCAGAACTGACTTTCCCGACTAACAGGGGGGGGGGGGGGGTGTGAAGAGATCCAAACACGACTCTCTCACCTGAAGTCCAGAAAGCACCAGGTCCGGGGATACTGCAGCACGTAGTTGCCAAAGCCGAACATCGGCAGGAGGCCAAAGAACAAGACAAACGCCCAGATGGCGATGATGACGAGGCGCGCCACCCCAGGGGCGCAGTGTTTGGTGTAGAAGAACGTGTACTTGACAAACAGGAACCGCTCGATCGCCATGGCGCTAACGATGAGAGGGGTGCTGAGCCCGAAACAGATCATGATGAAGCCGTTAAACCTACACAGGTGCTCGCCTCCTGGCATCTGGCGGCAGGATAAATATGAGATTATGGTGGTGGTGGTTGTAGTGGTGGTGGTAGTAGTAGAAGCAATAGTAGTGATAGATGTGATTATATTATTAGCAGCGTTGGTGGTGATGGTGGTAGTAGTAGTTTTAATTCAAGAAGTAGCAGTAGTAGAGTGAAGACAGCAGCAGCCGTAGTAGCAGTAGAGTGTTAGTAGTGGTGATGATGGATGTGCTGGTTGTTGTGGTAACCGTAGAACTCGTTACAGCTGTATTAGAAGCAGCCACAACAAGAGCAAGAGTAACAGAAGCAGGAGTTGTAGAGTGCTACAAATACTTGTGTATGTGGAAGTGCTACAGGTAGTATGTGGAAGTGCTACAGGTAGTATGTGGAAGTGCTACAGGTAGTATGTGGAAGTGCTACAGGTAGTATGTGGAAGTGCTACAGGTAGTATGTGGAAGTGCTACAGGTAGTATGTGGAAGTGCTACAGATAGTATGTGGAAGTGCTACAGGTAGTATGTGGAAGTGCTACAGGTAGTATGTGGAAGTGCTACAAATACTTGTGTATATGGAAGTGCTGCAGGTAGTGTGTGAAAGTGCTACATGTATGATACGAGTAAGGTAACGCAAAGAAAGATAAGATTAAGAATGAAAAAGTAGTAGGTAAAAGGAAGATAGAGATAAAGAGGAAGAGTGGGAGGCAGTCAAGGATAAAGAGATGAGGAGGAGGAGCAGGACATGGATAAATGAAATGTGAAGAAGCAAGGTTGGGGTGGATGAGAGCGACAATGAGACAGGAAAGGATAGAGATGATAACTAGGAGATAAATGAGAATAAAGGGACTGAGAAGAAAGATTATGCAACTGTGCGTTGATCAGAGAAGTTGGACAGAACAAAATAAATCATACACTAACTAATGAACATCTGTTGCCTTGATGGTTACAGGAGGACTTTGTGCTAGGACACTGTGGTAAGAGGCAATGAATGAGCGGACTGGCTTGCTGGTAGGATTACAGTAGGTACAGGAAAGGCACTTGACCGGGCCGATGTTCTAAGTGCTCTTAAGAAGTCTGGAGGCGGAGATGATTCAGGAGACGAGAGGGAATCGGCAGCATGGACAAGACCACAAAGACTTTATGAAAAACTGGGTGTTTCCAGTCATGGACTCTATACAGGTAGCCAAAGAAGAATAGTAAACAACTAGAAACTGGTGTTATCGTTGCCACCCCTGAAGGAGATACTGAAGATGGGATCAAAGTGCAAATGGACTTGTCCGAAGGAGATACTGAAGATGGGATCAGAGTGCAAATGGACTTGTCCGATGTTCAATGAGGTTCATTGGTCGATTAACTAACTGACTGACTTAAGGGCCAGACATGGAGGCCTACTGACCTGTAACCCGTTGATGTAGGAGGCGATGGTGACAGGTGAGGTCAGGACAATCCCAGTCAGGTCGTTCCACACCAGCCCGGCCACCAGCGAGTGGAACATCATCCTCTGCGACTCCATTCTGGTCCGGTGGAGTACCACGAGGGCCAGCAGGTTGCCGATCTGCAAAAATGGAAGCAACAGAAAGCTTACTACAGTTCCTCTTCCCTTTTTTCATCACCGTCATCACATTTGCGCCGACACAAAGAAAGCATTTGGTGCACAGTCCCCTTATAAGTCTCTAGGCGGGAAGTGGTCTTCGAGGTGCTTATCTCTTGTTTAAGTGCGCAGTAATGAATGTAGTTATTAAAATATTACGTCCTGAATGAAAAATAAACATAATGACATATTTGAAACATTATGAAATAGACAAACACACACAGGTGCTACACAGAGGACGTCTTTACATAACTAGAGGGGCCACAGCGGAATGTCTTTCAGACCCCCTTCCCCCTTTTTCTCCCACCCCACACGCCTTATCGAATTGAAGCTCCCAATATTCGGCGAACTATGTATAATCATCATAATCTTCTTCTTTTTCTTTTTTTTTTCTTTTTTTTTCTTCTTTGCTTTCATATTCTTCTCCGCTTTCCCCTTTCCAGCCCACCCCAAACAAACAAATAACAACAGCAACAAGCAAAAAAATAACAACAAAGAAACTGTTCAATCCTATCGTGTGGGTTGTCATGTTAAACAAAAGCTCGATGGCGGTCATACCATTTCTGGTAGTTAGTTCATTGCCGGGCTCGATGATTGGTTGGTTAGCTTCTTAGTTAACGGGTTGATTGGTTACTTAGGTTGTTAGTAGATTATCTATTTCACTGTAAACTTCACGGCGAGAAGAGTGGTAGTTGATAGATATTAATGGGTGTAGAGTCACTTCCTGTTTGTGGTTTAGCGTCTGGTTTCAAGACTCGGAGGTTAGATGTATCTTTCTCGTATCTTCAGAAACCTTATATCTTGTCTTAATGAACAGATGGCGGGGGTGTTTCCGTGTGTGAGGCCTAGAAGGAGTGGCGGAGAGGGGGTGAGTGGAGAAAGGGAGATAGATAGAGACAGAGATACACACGCAGAGACACACACACACACGCAGAGACACGTACACACAACAGAGACGCACACATACACACGCACACACAAAGGAACACACAGAGAGAGAGACACAGATTCAGAGAGAACGACAGAGCGACACAGAGAGAGACACAAAGAGAGAGAGAGAAAGAGAAAGAGAGAGACACACAAAGAGAGAGAGAGAGAGAGAGAGAGAAAGAGAGAGAGAGAAAAAAAGAGAGACACACAAAGAGAGAGAGAAAGAGTGAAAGAGAGAGAGACACAAAGAGAGAGAGACAGAGAGAAAGAGAGAGAGAAAGAGAGACACAAAGAGAGAGAGAGAGAGAAAGAGAGAAAGAAAGAGAGAGACACACAAAGAGAGAGAGAGAACGACAGAGCGACACAGAGAGAGAGAGACAAAGAGAGAGAGAGAAATAGAGAGAGAGAACAAAGAGAGAGATGACACTCTGAGGAGAGAGAGAGAGAAGAGAGAGAGAGAGAGAGAGAGAGAGAGAGAGAGAGAGAGTTGAAACAGTACTACAAACAAACTGTGTTGACACTCTGATCTGTGTCCACAAAAGTCTATTTCACTAAAGACCATTTTCCACACCTTCGCACGCATTGGGCGGGCATATAGGGCTAGTCCTAAATTTTATAGACAAATCGGCTCTCTGTGGGCGCTGTTTTCAACATAACACTGGCCACCTTTACCTCCAAGAACTTTACCTGGTGTCCATTTAAGGCGGGATCAGCGTGGGATGACAACCACTGTCATTTTACATAAAATAAATAGAATTGGTAAACTCCTTTTTACAAGGATATAATGACAACCAATGTCATTTTACATAAAATAAATAGAATTCGTAAACTCCTTTTTACAAGGATATAATGACAACCAATGTCATTTTACATAAAATAAATAGAATTGGTAAACTATTTTTTACAAGGATATAATGACAACCAATGTCATTTTACATAAAATAAATAGAATTGGTAAACTCCTTTTTACAAGGATATAATGACAACCAATGTCATTTTACATAAAATAAATAGAATTGGTAAACTATTTTTTACAAGGATATAATGACAACCAATGTCATTTTACATAAAATAAATAGAATTAGTAAACTCCTTTCTACAAGGCTCTAATTTACTTGAACGTCTTGTGTCCTGACAGTTTTAGTTTAGTGTAACCCACGTTTGTCCACAAGAAATTAATTAGAATAACACCACAAGCATGAGAAGTAAACTTAATAACTAATAACAATTAGTTAATGTAACAACTTCATGAGTGTTAAAACAGAAGAATCAGTGTAGTGAGTACCAATGTTTGGATTAACTAATGGATGTGTGATGAATTGGATAATACAGAAAGATTTGAGGGTTTTTCCCCCTTTCTAAATTTCGGGGATATTGACACCTGCCGAAGTAACAACAAGATGTAGAGTTCAGAGGATACCGTAGCAACATACTCAATGTTCATCTATATGAGGATTTCAACCGACTGTCTCCACACACACACACACACACACACACACAAAATGATACCCCTTATTGAAATTCTCATGTGCTCCTATGCTCTACTTAACTGCCTTCCCTACAAAGACTTAGATCTTCTAGATCAAGCACCTTCACAGTCAGGGAACAATGGAATATAGACACACTAAGGACCTAGCCATTATCTAGAGAGTTTCTCTGTGTTTTACCAGCTTAAATATGGTCTGCGTTCTCGTGGCCATTGTGTTTATTATATCCTCCGTGCCAGCTTTCAGGTTGGTCCACCCCTGCCCTTTCTTCCAGAACCACTATCTCCAATTACTGTTCTCCCTAAGCCGTTGTGACGTTACGTTTTGCCGAAGTAATTTCACTTTCCCATTTACTTATGTTTTTCAACCTGTTTTCTTATCTTCTAGAATATCAAGGGCTGATTTTGCTGCTACTGTTATTACTTCTTCTTCTTCTTCATCTTCTTCTTCTTCTTCTTCTTCTTCTTCTTCTTCTGCTTCTTCTTCTTCTTCTTCTTCTTCTTCTTCTTCTTCTTCTTCTTCTTCTTCTTCTTCTTCTTTCTTCTTCTTCTTTTCTTCTTCTTCTTTTCTTCTTCTGCTTCTTCTTCTGCTTCTTCTCTTCTTCTTCTTCTTTCTTCTTCTTCTTCTTCTTCTTCTTCTTCTTCTTCTTCTTCTTCTTCTTCTTCTTCTTCTTCTTCTTCTTCTTCTTCTTCTGCTTCTGCTGTGTTACTGCTGCTGCTTTTTCTGCTTCTTCTTCTTTCTCTTCTTCTGCTTTGGATCTTTGAAGCAGATTAAACGGGGAGTGTATAGAGTGTCTAGACATCACAGACCACAGAGGAAAAATAATGTACATTAATTACGTTTCCACTGCCTTCATCAAAACGGGAACTTGTCATGGGCAGTGTCAGAAAGAGACTGAGCACTTACTATGGTGTTCTGATTGTATTGACTCAATTCGTTTTTCCCTGTCATTAATAGATGAATTAATTAACTGCTTTATTCATCCATCTTTTCTACTGTCTAGCATTTCCTCCCGAATTTCAATTTTACTGCCATTCTGTCACGCCTCAATCAATACCAGTAAATTAGTGTCATTATGACTTTATCGACTTCAAAATTGTACGCCCCATGCTTCCCTTCCTGTTTACCAGTTGTCAAAAAGAGGCTAAACAGCTACCGGAAGTTGAAATATTGACCACTGATTGGCTGACTGCTCCAGAGATTTTAGAAGTGTTCTTTACTGACTGCGCCAGCTTTGCAAATATTTTCTTGTTTGACACACTAGGGGAAAAACCCATCATCATCACCAGGTGCCTTACCGACTGGCGTGGGCGATCATGCCTCTCCATAATCTGCGATCTCCATGTCATGCAACAAGACTATCAAGCATCTTCTTTCGTTGTCTTCCTCTATCCCTCCTTCCACAGATCTTTCCAGTGGTCACAAAGAAAACCCCATACTTGATTTATTTCGAGTATATAATGTAGCACATGGACTCGGTTGCGGTCCTGCATAGAAAGAAGAAATACAACCCTCTTTGGCTGTGGCGAGATTTACACGGGATAGGATACCTCATGGCCAGGAGTAGAGTACCCGATTAGCCCACAGATGAGGTTGCATGAAGTCATGGCAGGTAGGTCATGGATAAACGTGGTGAGCAGGTGAGAAGTTTACAGTGCTGGTCCTCACTTTAACTGTGCTAGCCAGAGGATAGTTGCTAGGACAACCCGTTCAGTCTAGCACTGCTCTCACAGACAGAAATTGCAACCTACTGTGAGAATTGTGCATAGAAAAGTCGTGTCTATTTTGGTCATGTTATGAGAAGGGGAAAACTGGAGTACCTAGTGACCCCAGGGGTCTGCAGACCCCAAATGGGACAGACTGCTCTCATTAATTTCTTGCAAAGATAAATAAATTCACGAACAATGATTAGGACTTAGGGTGAAGAAAAGAAGAAAGGGATTAAATGGGCTAGTTAACAAAGGGTACACAAGATGATCTGAAAATTCAAAAAAAAAAAAAAAAAAAAAAAAGAATTGTGTAACACACAGGGATTCTAATGTGCAAATTTAATTTTCACCGCGCCCAGAGGCACATAAGGCAGAGACAAACTTCGCTCAATTCGACCCTGAGCTATCCCTCTCTATCTCGAGTTTTGTCCTTCGTCTAGCCTTTAGTTCAGCCTCAAGGGTTCGCCTCCAAGTGCCTTGCATTGGGCCTGTCTCTCTCTCCTCGCTCTCTCTCTCTCTCTTCTCTGTAGTTGTGTTGTCTCGGCCGTACATTCACAGTCTGTCTCATCTTTTCTTTTTTTTTTTTTTTACATCTTCTAAATCTGTCAATTGTTGTAATCTATAATTGCTGATTTTATCTTCCCATGTGAACCACAACAATGTTCTAAGAAACTCTTCACTCAAAACCTCTGATCATGCTCTTTATCTTTCAGTCTGTTTTTCAAGTTTCTGCTCTGTATAGCATTGCCTTTGCATATCTCTGCTTGATTTCAAAAAAATACATTGCCTGGAAAATATCGTGACGTCTGAAAAGATAACTGGTAGAAGAGGCAGAGGCAGACCAAGAGAAATGATGGTGGATGGCCTAAGACAGAGGCATGAAGGAATATCATCAGTGGAAGTGATACAGAACACCAAAGACAGATCTGTGGACTTGCTTGAATGTCTATGCCAGAGGACAAGGCACTTGATGATGATGATGATAGTGATTAAAAAAAAAAACATCCCTACTATGACCAAAATTGTGTTCACGTTAACCAAGTATTTGTCTTAAGCAAGTTTGTGTTAAAATGGCTTTACTGTATTAAATCTTTGAACCCAGGGGGTTTATCGATCAGACACCCAAGTGGTTGTCAAGAGAGACGTTAAATCGGCGCATCATGCGTTCATTGGGTCTCTAGGTAGGAAACTATGAACGTGTGATGCGTTCCTTGGGACTCAAAGAGTTAACTCAAATACGCACCACGCCAGACAGAAACATAATGATGGGCGAGGCGATCGTGGCCCCTGTAAGGGTCAAGGTTGTGATGTCACTTCCGTTGCTGCTATTATTGGTAACATTATCACGTGACCAGTACATCATGGTGGCGTCTTCATAACTCCATTCTATCCCTGGTGGTAAGTGCATCGTTGCTCGTAGCCAGGAACCTCACATATCTGCAACAAATTTCAGAAGAAAAAGATACGTTCTTGATCATATAAGTCAAGACAATAAACTATATGTTGTTGGCACCTCTCCTACTTTCCAGAAGAGTATTTCATTTTGTTATAGGGAAGTATGAGAATCTCAACTCATGGCGGTACCAGTGAAGACCAGGGTTTAAGTCCTCCTCTCCATAACATACATCAATTACAACGCCGGGGAAGTGCTGTGTTGCGTACGCATCATGATCCCGCTCACGACTGCTTTGTTTACTCTGAAGAAAAGGTAACGCTAATGTGTTTGAAACAAAACATGCTGCACATAATCCGAAAAGCAGTTATCAATCTGTCTGCGTGTCACACGGGACAAAAGTTGCATTTCCGTGTCCTATGATCAGGCTGTCGGCTCTGTGGCTAAGTCGATGCGAACGCTTCGTAATGCCGGAAAGCCGGGTTCGATCCCAGCTGAGGGCCATGCACCTTGCGTTGGTTTCGACAGTGGTATCAAGAAAGCTGACCGTCCAGGATAGCAGTGGCAAACTACTGGACGTAAATTTGCCTAGAAAAACCACACAACACAGGGGCTGCTAAGGTTGTTTCTGCGACGTCCTGTAAAGGATACGCAACTAACCTATGATCAGGCTAGTACCCCCCCCCCCCCCCCGCCCCGACCCTCTGCTCCCCTTTCTTTCCTAGATGCGATCCTGCCCCTGAAGCCGTTGACGCAGTTAGGGAGAGTGGGGGGGGGGTGGGGTGTCTGCATTGGTTGGCTCGCCCAATATCTGCGTTAACGATAAATTATGCCAGGTTTATACAAGTTATTAAACCCTCTTGTAGTTACACAGTTCTTAAGGTTCCCCTTCAAATGCTTTCAGGTGCCAACTGAAGCTGGCGATCTGCTTCGTCACATATTGAACTGAAGAACACAGAATATACCCACTGACCCCTCTATCAAGCATGTCGTAGGAGGCGACTGTTCAAGGGTTTATCAAGTAACCAACATTCTACATGCAGATGAGCCAGACCTGTTAAACGAATGAGCCCGCAAAGCACAAGTTGTCTATCAAGGAGTGGACGAACAACCAGAATTTTCCGCCGGAACCTTCAGTCTGTAAACGCTAAGAAAAAGAAGAATCTAAAACATGATGTATCAGTTTCGTTCGCTGACACCACTCCATGCCCCCCCCACACACACACACACACATACACACACTACACACACACACACACACACACACACACACACACACAGCGCACTCAAAGAGTGTAACCGAATCAGAACTTCCGGAACAAACTGTAATAATGTAAATTGTGAATTCTCCCCCCTGGCTCCAGAAACGGAAATAGAAATTCTGCGCTAGGATAGAAAAAAAAATGGCTAACTAAAACAAGTATCTTGCTGTTGATACCTGTAGACAGACAAATCTGCGAAATGTCCACCACACCAGGCGAAGTCGGGCAGACATCCACAAAGCCATGTGCGACATGCATACAACCTGAATGTCAGAAATAATAAATGTTCTCTCGTTTTCCCCTGACATTCATTGTCTGAGTCAGGGGGGTCGGGGAAAATGAGACGTTATAGTCTTGAATATTTGCCATAAATACAGCCATATTGATGTGTCTGTTTTAGCTTCTTGTTCTACCCCAGGGCGCCGATAGAGATAAAAGCTGCACAATTGGGTCACTGACCTCATTCAACTGCGTGTGTTTGCTAGAGGTTGTTCTTCCTCTTCTAACTTTTCGGATCGTCGTCATCATGTGCCGTGCCGGTGAGCGTAGACTGTCCTGTTTTGTCATTACACACGATCACCAGAATCACAGATCAAGTCAGTGTTCTTGTCTCAACTCTCCTCCCCCATCCCAATCCATTTGGCCAGACCATCGAGATATTCATCTTTTTCTTCCTTTTACTCTCTTTCCATGAATCTTGTCAGTTGCTGCCAAGTTCTCGAGTCAGCTCCTTCTTATAACATGTACACACACACACGCGCGCGCTTGCGCGCTCACGCACATACAACATTGACTGTCTACGTCTAATTATTCTAATGAGTTTACGACTTTCATCTGTCTCGATGAGGACTGCTTCATTTGTTTTTCTATCCTTCCATGAAATTCTTTGCATTCCTCTCAAAAAACAACTCCCTGTCGCGAGTAAATGTTTTTCAGCCTCTTTGCTTGTTGTCACTGTTTGGCATGCATACAACAGTACAGATTCTACATAACACTTTAACACTCTTTTTCTCACTGCAAGTGACATCTTGTTGTTGTTGTTGGGAATCTTTTGCATCTTGCTGAAGGCCACATTTGTCGTGGCGATTCTTTTTGCACTTGTGTCAATTTTCCACTCTGGTCTTTCTTTCTTTATGATGACAACCATAATTTATATTTTATTGCATTATAATCCCAAGCCTAGTTCCGTGCTGTAACTATCAATTCATCCACGAAACACTGCAAATCTTACTTCCCGGATATACAGAAAACAAAACATACTCGTGTGTTGGATATAAATACTTACACTCTTGTTGTCTGCTTGCTCTTCTAATTTCCCATATACAGTCAGAAAACACTTTTTTTTTAGTTTAATGGTTGTTCAGGAGGTGGCGGGAACAATTGTTAAATTCAGTACATTTGTACTTTTAATATCATGCATATTTTCTATGGCAACTTATGGGGGGTGAGTGTCAGGAACTCCCGCTCAGTCTCTGAAGAAAACAATCTGAGCTTTTGAACTGAGATGCTACAGAAAATGTATTAGAATACAGTAGACGAAGATAAAGAAACATAGACTTTGTGCATGAACATAGAGAAGAACTGGCTCATGAACAGCATCCTGTCCCAAAAGCGTGGGCCATGTCAAGCTCCGAGATGGTCCGGAGAGAGCGGTGACGGACTGTGAAGTTTACCGAAAACGAGGCATACAGGACATTGAATGTTGAATGTTGCTGAATGGTACATTTAGAATTAAGAATCGACATCACAGCACTTGGGACATTTCCGTAAGTACTTAGTCTCCATCTTCAGCAGCAAGCGAAGAGTTCCAGGATACATTCTTGTGTGTTGGGTAAAAACACGTGTCTGGTCGTGTCGTGCTCTAACTAACGGTGTAGGGAGAAACAACACCACTACGTACACAGAAACAACACTATGTAAAGTGTTTATTATTTCTTCTTTTAACTAACGGTGTAGAGAGAAATAAGACCACTGCATACACAGAAACAACACTATGTAAAGTGTTATTATTTCATCTTCTAACTAATGGTGTAGAGAGAAATAAGACCATTGCGTACACAGAAACAACACTATGTAAAGTGTTTATTATTTCTTCTTCTAACTAACGGTGTAGGGAGAAATAACACCATTGCGTACACAGAAACAACACTATGTGAAGTGTTTATTATGTCATCTTCTAACTAACGGTGTAGGGAGAAACAACACCATTGCGTACACAGAAACAACACTATGTAAAGTGTTTATTATTTCATCTTCTAACTAACAGTGTAGAGAGAAATAAGACCACTGCGTACACAGAAACAACACTATGTAAAGTGTTTATTATTTCTTCTTCTTACTAACGGTGTAGAGAGAAATGGTGGTTGAGTACACAGAAACAACAACTATGTAAAGTGTTACTATTTCATGTTGGTGGTAGAGAGAAATAAGATGAATGCGTACATGATACAAACACTATGTAAAGTGTTACGATTTCATCTTCTAAACTAATGTAGAGAGAGGTAAGACCACTGATACACAGAAATACACTGATGTAAAAGTGGTGACTATTTCATCTTCTAGATAACAGGTGAGAGGCCAGTGGTACATTGACGGGAAACACTATGCTAAATGTTACTATGGAAGTTCTAACTGACAGTGTAGAGTGGACAGTGCGTACACATAAACAACACTATGTAAACAGTTACTATTTCATCTTCTAACTAGTGTAAAGAGTTTTAAGTTCCATGCGCCGCACAGTAAACAACACTATGAAAGCCTACTATTTCATCTTCTAAAAACAAATGGAGAGAGTAATTAGACCATTGCGTATCTATTACAAAACCTACACTCTAAAAAAAAAGTGGGACTATTTCATCCTAAAAGAGGGGAAGAGAGAAATAAGAGATTGAGTACAGAAACAAGACTATGAGAGAGAGAGAGAGATTTCTTCTTCTAACTAACAGTGTAGAGAGAGAGATAAGACCATTGCGTAGACAGAAACAACACTGAGACGGACATATAGATACTTCACAACTTAGGAGGAGGAAGGATGTGTGGGTCTCGAGGCATGACATTAGACTAGGGCTGTACCGAGAGATTCGCTGGGTATTCGCTTCGGGGCCGAGGATTTAGTGTGGACAATTGACATCTATTCAGTATTCCCTCTGGTTTCTGGGTAGTGAGTTGGACGCTCGTGTGCACGAACACGCAAGGTAGTTAAATCCTTACAGTTGGCATCGACATACACGGCCCTAATACTGCCTAGGCAAAATGGAACAAATTACCCAAAGTTGACAGAGGATCATCGCCGCTGCTACAGAGCATGTCAACCACTGCCCTTGTCAGTGAAACTTGAGCACAGTTTGCCGTTCCACTTGTCAGTAATATACTTAGGATTCTTTCATTCCTACACAATTAGTTACCACAGACTGACTGATCGTCGATTGCAAAATCATAAAAATCTTGTTTTGGGGATGTTTACTATTCTGTACGAATGCTGCAACTAGAGGTTTAATGGGAAGAATATAAACTCCGGCCACATCCAATGTCGGTAATATGAGTGTTGAAATGTGTTCATCAAACGATGACGGAAACATAATATGTATGCTTGCTGGTGCAAACAATCAATAGATGCTCCAGACATGAGACGATAGAGATGGTGAAGAAATGACATGATGGCTAGGTAATACAATCTAGAAATAAAGAATACTATGCCCTTCAACATCTGCTAAAGTCAAAGTGCTGTCTCGCAACACCAAAATCAAAACGTTG